GGGGGGAGCCCGGGCCCCCCGGCCCCCCGGTTCCGCCGCCCATGCTATATTCACTCAATATATCACCAGCATATTGGATTGCGGAACTCCTAGATACGGGCCTGTGAGCATTTCAGATTAAAGAATTTAAAAAAAAAATGGGTTTTTTTTTCTTTTTCGTGGGATCGTCCCACCTTTAATTTAAAAAAAAAATAAAGTTATAAATGTATATACTGTATTGAAAAATAAACAATGATATAGGGAACATATAATTACTTAAAGTAACATTTTGTATGCGTTTATTTCTTAAAGTTTTCCTTTCAATTTTATATTTTAACATATTTCTTTAACTTAGTTTTTCTTCATCGTTTTCCTTTCAATTTTATATTTTAATATATTTCTTTAACTTAGTTTTTCTTCATCGTTTTTCTCAATAACTAATACTTAAACTACGCTTTAAATACTAAAGGTAATTTAACTTACCTAATATTTACATCAAATAATTACATTGCCTTCGGTTTTGGGTTGCGCGCGAATAGATTATTTTGCTGCACGGAAAACTCCAAAATCGGCTTAGTTTACGAATTCTGTGACCCACCGATCCGCGCTACTTGGCATTCGCACAAAAATGGCAATACTATTTTATTGAAACATAATATAATTGTCGGCAATCGTAAATTTGGGGAAACTGTAACCAAAAATCGGAATTTATCTTCGAAAAATAATGTCGTTCACGAAAGCAGTACCCAATCACAGCACACTTACCATACCTGTTAAGCATTGATGAGACGCTATTAGCCAATCACAAACGTTCTTGTAAACTCGGTAACTAATGTAAACATTGTCGCGAAGAAAGTGACAATGTGTAGAAATTTGGAGGAAAGTTCCCGGGTTTTAGTGAATATTTCAATATGATATAAGATTACCAGCCTTTAAATAAAATACATTGGTAATAGTTAGTTAAATTGCATTTCCCGTCTTCTGTCGACTGTCATACCGTAGTTTTTTAAGCCAAAGTCGACCATGCTGTACTGAATGTGTATTGTATTACTTCTCTAGGCCTACATAATTATGCATAGTATAGTAGGAAGGGCAAGAAGTAATGTTCATAGACTTTGAATGAGACAGGAAATTCCTGTAAATATATGATATATTTTGATTCTATTTCAGTTTCAGTTTTCAGTTTCAGTTTATTTGTTTCACACAATGAACATAATAAATGAACAAGATATAAGAACCTATTATAATAATTCAATTGTTTTGATTCATTAACTTTAAAAGATAACAATAATATGATGAAGATAGAATTTCATAGTATGGATAACACTATAAATTTAAATACTGTTTAATGGATACAGTGAATATTCATTGTGTGTGGAGGAAACAATAAGCCAGAAAGGCTTTAAGCCTGATTCTCCAAAAAAAACATATACTGAATTAGTAAATGGCTAGTGATAATAAAATAATAAGGAAATAAACAGGAAAAAAAACCTAAATAAAGTAGATAATAAAGGTAGAAAAAAAGAGATGAGATGAAGAGAATTGTATTTTTAATATTTTTCCACAATTTAATTTAATAGAGAAAATGAATAACTAGGATGCATACTTATCTATTAGGGATTGTTTATATTTTCTTTTAAGAGATTTTAAGGTGTGTGTTAATTTAAGTTTAAAAGGTAAATTGTTCCATATGTATGGCCCATTATAAATAAAAGATGACCTCCTTAGTAACGTAGTGTGGCTTTCATAAACAAAATTTTTGACGGTTGAAGACCTGGTATCATATGAATGGTATTGGCAGAAGTTAGTGAAAAATGTATGAAAATGAAAGGGGAGTTGATTGTTATTTAATCGAAACATTAGCAAGGCTGTTTGAAGCTTGTTAAGATCGAAGATATTCAAAGTATTGAGAGAATAAAATAAAGGTTTGGAATGAGACCTGGGGGGTGCCCCTGTGCATATTCTGAGCGCTTTCTTTTGTAATCGAAATAAACAATGAATTTTAGTTGTTTCAGAGCTTGCCCAGGGGCACAATTGTGAAAATTTACCAGTGGTTGTAGCCCAGGCAATGTTGCAATAG